CCACGCACGGACCCCCACCCCCCAACTGGTCCGCAGTGCGCTACACCACACTGTCTCTCAAGCCTGCCCATAATTCCACCACCACCACCTCATCCCTTCCCTTTCCTCCCCCACCCCTTTTTTCCCTTGCTATTCCAGATGGAAATGCGCCTCCAGGACCAGCAGCTGGCCCGGCAGCTGATGCGCTTGCGCAGCGACATCAACAAACTGAAGATTGAGCAGACGTGCCACCTCCACCGGCGCATGCTCAACGATGCCACCTATGAGCTGGAGGAGAGGGACGAGCTCTCTGACCTTCTCTGCGATTTCCCCCTCACGTCCTCCTTCAGCCTGTCTGCCCCACTCAAGCTCATTGGCGTGACGAAGATGAACATCAACTCCCGAAGGTTCTCGCTTTGTTAGAGGAAGTGAAGGGAAGAGGCACAGGAAGGACAAGCTTGCCGCCTTCCTCTGCCTTGTGGGACGAAACGTGCGAGAGTCAAGAACAAGGAGAGAGGAGAACATGCCACGCATGACTGCTCCTTCTGCAAACCTCCCATGGCTGGGCTTTGGGGGTGATCACTTTCCGGTGGGCTTTGGTGGAAGTTGTAGGACGAACCAAAGAGGCCACCTCAAAGTCAGAAGACCAGGCACCACCTCATCTAAGACTTGCAGTCAGAAACACCACCTGTGGTTGGAATAATGATGTGGTGAGCGATATGGTGTGTTGGACTATCCTTAATTGTGGCCAAGAAAGATGGTGATGCACACCGTTGGTCATGAAGCCACTCAGCTCTTTCAGACTGGACAATAAGAAGAAGAAAGGAAGAGCAGGCAGTGAGAAATTTGTTGCTACTGTGAAGAGACACGACTTTCCATCTTACGGGACATAAGGGTTGAAAATTTGTCAGCCAATATTCTCAACACACCTTTTTTAATCAGTTGTCGTCTCAAACATGGAGGCAACTTCTTGATTTGCTTTGTTGCCTTAGACTTGCCTGTCACCAAGATGGTCAACCTGTTTCTGGGCTGTAACTCATGTAGCAGATGTGGGGGGTGGTAACCCCGACAGGAATATTCACACATGGGGGGCTGGAGTTCATGAAGGCACCAAATCCATGCTAGGGTATCTTTTGACCATTGCAGAACATCCTTGGGATGCCAAACTCAAGTTAGCAAAATAAGTTCAGTCTCATGGACGGCACCTTTAAACTTCAGACTAAAACCCGTAGGGCCCTGTGCCCATGGTTGCTCCCATGATAGGTGAATAAACCTTTCCAAATTACAAGGTAGCATTTCAGGGATACACCCCCATGCCACCGCGCAAGCACTGGTCAAAAATACTATTAGGACGTTACACCGTCACAAGTGAAGTCATGCAAGTTTCAGTTGCTCGTTGAAGCTAACAATAAGGTGCTGCTCGCATTCCTGATTGGATTGTGTGATCGGGTACACAACCAGAAATGTAACCAGCCTTCTGTCGTTGGTTTCGTTCAGCCACCACAAGTTGGAGAAATTTTCTGGCCCCTGCATCAGATCTTTCTAGGAGTTTGTCCCATGTGTGTGTAGTGTGAGAAAGAAATAAAGAAGAAGTTCCGAGAGAGCTCAACCATCCGGATGAGATTCAGGTCTTTGCTAAGCAGTGCCTTTCTGTAACCTGGTGAAGCACAGAGGTACAGTGGTGCCTTGCTAGACAATGTTAATCCATTCCATTGAAATCGCTGTCTTGTGAAGACATCGTCTAGCGAAAAGTGTTTCCCCATTGGAATGCATTGAAACCGGGGAAAGGTCGTCGTCCAGCGAAGATCGCCCATAGGAAAGCCACTTTGCGAACCGCTGCTCAGCTGTGAAATCGGCATCTAGCAAACAATAGAAGTGCGGACCGAGCTGTCAAAATTGTCGTCTTGCGAAAAAACGGTCCACAAAGCATGGATCAAATCATCGTCCAGGGAAATTCCCCCATAGGAAACATCGTTTTGCAATCTTTATAGCAATTGCAAAAAGTCATCGTCCAGCAAAAAAAACGTACTGTGGCTTAATCGTCTAGCGAGGTACCACTGTATGGCCTAAAGATCTCATGATTCTTGGGCATATCTAACCCAAACTACCTAAACTGCACACTTCATCACCAAAATATCAGGGCTTTCCAATAAAACTGACAAGACGGCAGGAGCAGAGGTTAGAAAAGGTACTTTCTCTGGAGGGCAGCTTCCAAAATCCAGTGCAGCTGCTGGCGTGGTCACCACCAGCTTCCTGGATCAAGCAATTTTTCCAAAGTTGAATATCTTGTTCCATATATGAAGAAATGTGGTTTCCCCCCTGCCCCAGAGTTTGGAAACGCTAATTTGGTGGAATTGCGTTTCCCAGAATCCCCCGGCCAGCATGGTCCCTAATAAGACACCATGTGGCCACCACCTTGATGGCATCTTTGATCTTCATTTGATTGTAGGCCTAGAAATCACTCCTGAGAAACCTCCCCAACATTTAATTTGGCCTTGGACTGTAAGAGGCTCCCTATAATGGATTTAAGGCTTGTTGTTATCATTGAACTGCTGGATAGCTCAGTGGTTTAATCTGAGTTGGGAGTTTGATTCCCCGCTGGTCCTCCTTGATCCGGGCTGGACAAGATGATCTATAGGGTCCCTTCCAATTTTGCAGCTCTAAGATCATTATCGTAATTATAATCAGCTGATCCACACCCAATTCTCTAGTGATCTCAGCACTCGTCCAGACTATCATTTACACCTCTCTTAAGTTCCATTTTAAGCCCTGATCATAATGGGAATCCATATCTCAGGATGTACAGGTGTAAACAGGATTTTTCCTTCCATAAATTAGTGCAACGTCTTGTTTCCCCCCCCCCCGAGTTCCTCAGCGTCCTCAAGTCTGCTTTAGATCCGAGTGGCTGTGCGCTACGGCATTTTCTCAATCAACACCAAAAAACACGAAGGTGCCAAGAGCCGGGTGGCAGAGGAAGTCGCACTTCAAAACCAAAGCGGGTGCCAAGCTGTGGTTCCAAGATGGTGAGAAAGCCTTTGAGCGCCTTCCGGTTTTGTCCCCCAGCTCACCCCACAGAAGCTAAAAGACAAAGCACCCCATTGTAGCCGGTCAATTTGACATAAACAGATTGATTTTTTTTTTAAGAGCCTCGGGCGCTGCTCAACATCCTGCTTGTCAAGTTTGGGTGGAAATTTGGGCAAATCCAGGTAAATCCCATCCTTTCTCAGACCCGAGCAACACAAGGAGGGAGGGGTGTGTGAAACAGAGCGGTATAGACGCCATGCCTTTCGTAACTCCCTTTGCATCCATCCAGTAATGGTTTCCCCTCCATGAACGATAGCTCTCTTGGCAAAGCGCACCGCATTTAGCCACCGACAAGAGGAGAACAACCCCAAAAGACCTTCCCTGTGACTTACCCCTACTTCCCAAGAACACTGGTCGAATTGCTACTCATACTATATGTTTGGAAGCTGCTATGTCCTGTTAGTTTGTATTTTAAAAAAGGTCATTGCAAATCGGTCTGTCGTTTCTCCAAATGCATCAGGTATGAGAGGAATGTTTGGTGTTTGTTTATGGACCTGTGGGTGGTTTTTCTTTTTAAGCAGACCTTTGATTGTTGTTCCGTCGGAATAAACAAGCTGATTCTTGGTTGCCTCGCTTGTTTTTCTTTCCATTGAATGAAACAGACAGGCCGACGGAGAAAATGCAACAACAGAAACTAACAAAAGCAGAGGGCCTATCAAACTTCCGCCCTAATAGCCTGCTTCTGGTGGGAACATCTCCGTTGGCTCAGGCATGACATGAGAATGGCTGATGGTCGGATTCCAAAAGATCTCCTGTATGGAGAATTAGTGCAGGGAATGGACCTCAACAGATGGGAAACCTTGACCTCCGAGCGTTCAGCCTGGAGGCAGGCGGTGCATCAAGGCCTCTCCCAATTTGAAGAGACCCTTGTCCAGGAGGCCGAGGCAAAGAGACCATCCTGAAACCAGCAAAACCAGGGAGCTGGACAGGGGACGGATCGTATTTGTCTTTAGTGTGGAACGGATGGTCACTCTCGAATTGGCCTTCTCAGCCACACTAGACGCTGTTCCATATACAGAGCACGTTACCATAGTCTCTTGAGACTGAACGTTGCCTAATCTGAGGTGGGAGCACAGTCTAATTATCTTAGCCTTTTAATTTGCTTTGAGGTTTACCTAGATTTCAGGTACGCCCCTACTTTTAAGTTGTGCAATACTCTGATATGAAGAAAGAAGGAAGAGAATAGTCTCATTGAGTCCGTTGAGGCTTACTCGCAGATAAACAGACATACGGTTGCAACCTCAAGGTGTTCGCTAAGACAATTCAAGAAAAAAAATATCTCCAGGAAAGGGGGAATCTCCTCTTTCATGAAGGTTTCCAGATGAGCCCGCTGGGGCAGGCAGGGTGTGTGGCATTTAAGGCCTGGTTTATGAAAAAGGATTGAACAGGAGCCAAGCACAAGCTGTGAAGTGTGCTAGCAGGGAACTGCCAAAATCAGGCGGATGATCAAAAGAGTTCCCGGTGGCTGAGTTTAAAAAAAATTGTTTACTAAGGACTAGGGCTTCTTGGGAGGAAAGCGATGACAAACCTAGACAGCAACAGTCCCCTTTTCCTCTTGCCTTCACACTTTCCCCAAATCAGGGGCTTTTCCAGGGAGTCTTCTCTTCTCA